CTCCCCAGTGAGCCCCTGGAGCTCCTGGTCTCAGGTGAGGGGCCCAAACCCTATCGGCTGAGCTGTCAACTCCGGGTCCTGTACCCAGAAGTATTATGGGCTGTAAGGGAGTTTGGGGCTCTCAGGATGGTCACCCCGAGGAGATCTTTTCCTTAGAGGCCTCCCACCCCATCCACCCCCTCCCCCTCACCTGAATACTGAAGCAGTGGGAGGGTCTCAGGGTCCACAGCACAGATGAAAGAAGGTGTCTGTGAAATGGGTTCCAGGCTCAGCCCAAGCCTCTCACCCTCTTCCTGTCATCATTTCCAGGACCCTCTGGAAGCCCCAGCCCCCCACCCACAGGGCCCACCTCCACAGCTGGTGAGTCCCAGGGAGCTCTGCTCAGAGGGAGCACAGCCCAGCCCCGCCCAAGTCCTGAGAGTCTGTTAGGGGATAGAGTGACCCAGATCCTCAAGGACGGGCTTGTGTCCCAGGGAGGCTGGGAGTCCCATGGTCTGAGGCAGGTGATGGGAGGGGTGGTAATGGCAGAGGACGATGTTGGGGCGCAGGCTGGGACGGTGAACCTGGTCCCATGTGGGGAGAAGGCAGCTCCCATCCTCCTGCCCCATCCTCATCCACAGGAGGCTCTGGGGATCGGTCTCTCCACCCACGGGGTCAGGCATATAAATGGGTAAATGTGGGGCTCTGTGGGAGGTGGTGGATGCCTCCATGAGGGACAGGGGCTGAGCCATGCGGGGGTCCAGGCCCCTCTGGATTTGCTGACTTGGACTCACCCTTCCCCTGACTGGGCCTCAATGTCTCCAGGTGTAAAAGGAGAGAATCCTTGTCCAGAGCTTAGATTTCCTGTCAGTTCTGTCCCTGACATCCTGGGAGAGGGGCTTCACAGGGAAGGCCCCAGAACGTGATGTTATGGGGCCTGTCCCCCCTGTCTCCCATGGAGGCACCCACCACCTCCCACAGAGCCCCCATTACCCCATCTGTATGCCTGACCCTGTGGGTGGGAGAGACCGATCCCCAGAGCCTCCTGTGGATGAGGATGGGGAAGGAGGGTGGGGGCTGCCTTCTCCCCAAATGCGACCAGGTTCACCGCCCCAGCCTGCACTCCGACATCGTGGCGGTGGCACTGTACAGGGAAGGACAGGCAAGACAAGGGTCCGGGCACCCAGTCTTACCCCTCAGCTCAGGCTGAGCTCAGCGGAGGGAACAGGGTGGATCAGCCCTGGTTCAGCTCCTGGCTCTGCTGCTCCTGCTGTGGGGCTGGGCGGTCCCTTCTCTCCTCTGAGTGTCTGGTTCCTGTCTGCTCATCCCTGGTCCCATCCTGCTCACAGGCTGCTGGGAGATGAGGTGACAGAAGGGCCTCACAGAGCTCAGGAAGGCACATCCCCCAGCCCAGCCCAACCTTCCTAGGGGCTGTCAGAGACCTGTGTGTTGAGAGGGATCCAGGAGAGACTCAGAGTCCATCCCACACCCTGCCCATCCCTGTCCCTGCTGTACTGAGAGTGGGTAATGGGGAAGGACCCTCAGCTCCATATGAGACCTTGACAGACCCCTGCACAGGAGGAGTCCAGAGCACAAAGCTGTTGTCCATCTGAGAGATGGCGGGGGGTGGGGGGGTGGAGCATGACGACAGCACAGGGAACTCACAGTCCCGGGTTTCTATCCCACTATCCTGCGTGGGGCATGTGATTAATCCCACGGAGCCTCAGTGAAGTGGTTGGTGGGATCAACCATGCTTGGTGCATGACTGCTGAGAGGTGAGAAGAGATGAGTTGAAGACCCTAGCATGTGCCTCTCACACAGTAGGTGCTCATTAAATGGCATCACTGGTTCATTTATGACGTCACTAATGTCCTAGGTCCCAAATGGTACTGGATAAGAGTCTTGGTGGCCTTGGTCCTGCTGCTCTCCTTCCTCTTCTTCCTCATCAGACATTGGCATCAGAGCAGAGGCAGGACCTCAAGTTCAGACATCACAGGGTCACTGATGTCAAGGGGAGGTGGGAGGCCAGGTTGAACATCAAAATCCTAGAGATTTGTGTCTGTCCTGTCCTCTGAGACTTCTTTACCCACAATTCTTATTTTCCCATCCCCAAGACTACACAGTGGAGAATCTCATCCGGATGGGCGTGGCTGGCTTGATCCTGGTGGTCATCGGGGTGCTGCTATTTGAGGCTCAAAACGACCCCATAAGGACCCTCGATGCAGCCAGCATGTGAGCACAGAGGCAACAACGCACCGTTCAGAGAGGGGGAGACTTGGAGCCCATCTGAGGATCCCAGGAGGTGCTGAAGGAAAGTGGGGACCATAGTTGGGGAATCTCTCTGTTGAGATTAGCCAGGGAAGTAGACGTGGTAGGTGATGTTTGGGTGCAGGAGAATGTAGGCCATGTCCCTGTAGAGGACGCCTCCTCCATCCACCTGGGCTGCTCTCCCTCCCTCCCTGTCCTTGCTGACTCTCTTCCACTGCCCTTCTGTTCTCACCCTGTGATGTGAGGGTCCGTCCCATATGGCTGGTTTGGATTCACATCTATATACCTTCAGGCTGCGTCACATCCATCCCAACAAAATCAGGTGTCTTCACAACCCTGGGTTTTTTTTAAACCATAAAGAACAAAGGACAGGCACCTGGTCCCTAGTGGGAAAACATCATAATAATGCAGCTCAGGGACAGAATCGGGACACAAAATGGAATCAGGTTTTGTGTGATTTCATTTATTCGAAATGTCCAGGAGAAGGAAATCCATAGAAACAGAAATCAGATTGGTTTGTCTGGGGTTGACCAGGAGGACAGATGGGAGATGGACTGTTTGTTGTTGTTTTTGTTTGTTTGTTTGTTTGTTTTTGAGGAGGGAGTTAAAAACTTTCTTGAAACAAGATAGACATTGTCATTGAAACATTGTGTATTTACTGCATTCTAGTGAAATTCATATTTCAGAAGGCCCAATTGTATGTTATGTGACTGTTGCTTTAATAAAAAGAAATGCAAGTGAAACACGCGTGGTTCCCTTCAGCTGCCTTATACCTTGGAGGTTGCCCCACTGGTGTCCGTGGAGTTTTATGGAAGCAGGACTCCCACCAGGTCAGAGGTGCCCTAAGTGCTTTAGTGCTTAGGGATCAACCAAACTGTGGAGACTCATCAGGACTCACACAAGAACAACATTCATGGGACTCCTGTTCTAAGGAAGCAGCACAGACACATTAAATATCAGTTGTGGCGCTACCACATCCTGAATGGTTGGAGGACACTTGAGCAGGCTACTTCCTCCCTTGACTTCTCAGCAATACCAATGCCTTCCCCACAAAGATGGTGAGAAATCTTTTAGACCAGTGATGGCGAACCTATGACACGCGTGTCAGAGATGACACACGAACTCATTTTTTTGGTTGATTTTTCTTTGTTAAATGGCATTTAAATATATAAAATAAATATCAAAAAATACAAGTCTTTGTTTTACTATGGTTGCAAATATCAAAAAATTTCTATATGCGAGACAGAACCAGAGTTAAGTTAGGGTTTTTCAAAATGCTGACATGCTGAGCTCAAAAGGTTTGCCATCACTGTTCTAGACTGAGATATGGAGGAAATGAAACCAGCCATTCAATGCAGATGGAGATAGTGGTATTTTGAGAAATTGAAAAGCAGAGATGCCTTGTCCAGAGGAGCAGAAGGAAGACTCCAGATCAGACCCCTCGTATGGAGTCACCTGGATCGTGACAGACCCTTGCCGGGCTGGGGGTGGTCATGGCTTTTCCATCACATGCTGCTGGGCCAGTAGGTGAGTCTGTGGGACACAGTAAACGTCTTACCTGCCTCGACCATTTGCAGTAATCAATGTCAGATGGGCAATGGATCAAAATGTGAAAAATAAACCAACTACTTTTTCTTTTGCAAAAAGAAAAGGGGGAAACTATCTTACTGGTTTGTGGGAGACACATTTTTCCTCGATGTGGACACAAGAACACAAACTTAGGAGGGACATGGACACAGTGGAATCCACTAAGATGAAGAACTTCTGTTCCTTGTAGACACGAGGGAGATAATAAAGACGATATTTGCGATGCCAAAATGAGTCCACGGACTGGCACTCAGATCACTTAAGAAATATTACAGATCTGTAATGTGGCAGCAGAGAGCAATAGAAAAAGTAAGCAAACACCTTTATCAAGCAACTGATATTGGCATGCAAATTTGCAGTGACATTATATAAAGGTGATGAGCTGGCCTTGGCTGGTGTTTCTCAGTGGCTAGAGCATCAGCCTGAACACCAAACAGTCACAGGTTTACTTCCAGGTCAAAGGCACGTGCCTTGGTTGCAGATTTGCTCCTCAACCCTCGTTGGGATGCAAAGAATTGACGCATCTCTCTCACATTGATGTTTCTCTCTCTTTCTCCCTTCCATCCTCTCTAAAAATCATTGGAAATAATATCCTCAGGTGAGGAGTAACAAAAAAATGTTTCAATAAAAGGTTTTGAGCTTTATAAATCATAGAAGAAATAAATGTGCATCAAACCACAGGGTGGTACCAACACTTACACTGAATAATGAACATGAAAAAGGCAGGAAACACAAAGGGTCAGTAGGGGATGGGAACCTACCAGGAACCTAAACCAGGGTAAGTTGAGGAAATGCTGAAGCCACAGGGAAACTGTGCAGCAGAATCTTTTATAAATGAGCTTCTTCAAGAGCCGTGGTCGGGTGTCCCATTGGGCTGTTCAGAGCCAGACTTTCAGGGGCTGATTCAGGACCAGAACCTGAGTCTCACCCTCCCTGAGCAGGAGTCAAACCAGCAGACACATGAGACCCTGAGGATCAGGTGAGACCTCAGACACTGCTGACCAGCCTCCTGAAACCAGGATGCCATGTGAGCCCTCATTCTGGGGAGATGAAGAGCCAGGCCTAGGGCAGGTCTGTCTCCTTGCTGTGGGGTGTGGTAACCCCAAAGGGTTTCAACAGCCTTTAACTCGTCACATCCTGTGAGACTCTGTTCTGCAGCTCAGGCTTCCTCCATCTGCAGAGCAGGAGCCCTCAGAGCAGAAGCCATGGCGTCCATCCTCTCTGCTCTTCTCTGCCTCGGTCAGTTGTGGACACGGGGAGGGGGAGCAGGAGGGGCAGCTGCATCCTCTTGTTCATGGGGAACCTCAGGCTCAGGCAGCTTGAGTGGACGGGGCCCTGATGGGAAGGGAATCAGCTCAGACATCCGGGTGCAAATCTCTGACAGGGACTCTCTTCCAGGGCTGAGTCTGGACCAGAGGACCCGAGTGCAGGCAGGTGAGTCCTCCCCAGGCTCCATGTCCCTCCTCTTACTTCACCCCTGGGACTCAGGAGGGAGCACAGAGGTGCTGGGTTGAGGTGATAAAAGAGGAGTTTCTAGCACTAAGGTAGGAAATGAAGGTGGGAAGGTCTTGGTAATGCAACCTCCGGTTTTCTTCCAGGGAGCCTCCTCAAACCCACCCTCTGGGCTGAGCCAGCTTCTGTGATGTCCTGGGGGAGCCCCGTGACCATCTGGTGCCAGTGGACCGGGGAGGCCAAGGAGTTCTGTTTTCACAAAGAGGGAAGCATATTGCTGTGGGGCAGAGTGAAACCACTAGATCCGATGGACAAGGGCATGTTCAGGATCACAAGCCTGACACAGCATGGTGCTGGGATATATGACTGTCACTATCTCAGCCCTGATGGTTGGTCAGAGCGCAGTGACCCTCTGGAGCTGGTGGTGATGACAGGTGAGAGGACACTCAGGGGTCCCAGCCTCAAGCTATGCCCTCAGGAAGGGGGTCTGCTCTCAGGTCTCCCTCTCACAGCCCAGCCCTGGGGGACATGAGGGAGGTCTGAGCCCTTTAACAGGCTGCCTCCTCCTCTCCTAGGAGCCTATAGCAAACCCAGCCTCTCAGCCCTGCCCAGCCCTGTGGTGCCCTCAGGGGGGAAGGTGACCCTCCAGTGTGGCTCAGGGCAGAGATTTGACAGGTTCATTCTGACTAAGGAGGGAGATCACAGGTTCTCCTGGGCCCTGGGCTCACAGACAGAACCCAAAAGGCAGTTCCAGGGCCTTTTCGCTGTGGGCAACGTGACCCCCAGTCACAGGTGGACGTTCAGACTCCATGGCTGCTACAGGGACAGCCCCCATGTGTGCTCACACCCCAGTGATGCCCTGGAGCTCCTGGTCTCAGGTGAGTCACATTATTGTCCCATCCATTGATTTGGGCATGAAACTGGGATGTCATTAGGATCAGTACTTTGAGGGGAGCCCCATGTGAGTGGATGGCAGGAGGGCAGAACAAAGGCTCCTGGGCCAGAGACACAGAGACAGTGAGACCTGGGGCCAGGCCAGGAAAAGGGGTTTATGAGAGGAGCAGCCCCTGCAATTCACTTTTGGTCTCCCCAGGTGTGTCTGGGAAACCCTCCCTCCTGACCCAGCAGGGTCCCATTGTGGCCTCTGGGCAGAGCCTGACCCTCCAGTGTCGCTCTGATGTCGGCTATGACAGATTCGCTCTGCACAAGAAGGGGGGATGGGACTTCCCCCAGAGCCTTATCCTGCTGCCCCAGGCTGGGCTCTCTCAGGCCCACTTCCCCCTGGGCACTGTGAGCAGCTCCCACGGGGGTCGGTACAGATGCTACGGTGGATACAACCTCTCCTCTGAGTGGTCGGCCCCCAGTGACCCCCTGGACATCCTGGTGGCAGGTGAGGAGCCAGTGGGTTCAATCAGGGGCCCAGACTCTGCACTGGCCCTGCTGGGGTCTCTGGTGGTGAGGCCAGAATGACAGTGCAGGCCCCAGGGAGGGAGAGAGACAGAGTGAGGCAGGGGGTGGCAGGGGAGAGGGGGAGATTCAGAAAAAGAGACAAACAGAGAGGAAGGTCCTCAGAGAGAGGCCTAGTTACTCAGGTCGGAACAAGGTGGGCAGGCAGCCCTCACCCTCGCTCCCTCTCTCTAGGACACCTGCCTGACAGACCCTCCCTCTCGGTGCAGCCAGGCCTCAGGGTGGCCTCAGGAGAGAACGTGACCCTGCTGTGTCAGTCACAGAGCCCGAGGGACACGTTCCTTCTGTCCAAGGAGGGGGCAGCCGGTCCCCTCCTGCGTCAGAGATCAAAGCACAGAGCTCAGCAGTATCAGGCAGAGTTCTCCATGAGTCCTGTGACCTCAGCCCACGGGGGCACCTACAGGTGCTACAGCTCACACAGCACCTCCCCCTTCCTGCTGTCACTCCCCAGTGAGTCCTTGGAGCTCCTGGTCTCAGGTGCGGGCCCCTGACCTGTCTTCTGAGCTGTCAGCTCAGGGTCTTGTCCCCAGAAGCACTATGGGCAGAAACTGGGGTGAGGGGCTCTCGGGATGGTCACACCTAGGAGATCTTTTAAAATATATATATTTTATTGATTTTTTACAGAAAGGAGAGGAAGGGAGAGGGATAGAGAGTTAGAAACATGGATGAGAGAGAAACATCGATCAGCTGCCTCATGCACACTCCCCACTGGGGATGTGCCCGCAACCAAGGTACATGCCCTTGACCGGAATCTAACCCGGGACCCTTGAGTCCACAGGCCGACGCTCTATCCACTGAGCCAAACCGGTTATGGCACCCCTAGGAGATCTTTTCCTTAGTGGCCTCTCACCCCGTCCACCCCCTCCCCCTCACCTGGATACTGAAGCAGTGGGAGGGCCTCAGGGGCCACAGTACAGATGTAAGAGGGTGTCTGTGTGAAATGGGGTCCAGGATCAGCCCAAGCCTCTCACCCTCTTTCTTGTCCTCATTTCCAGGACCCTCTGGAGGCCCCAGTCCCCCACCCACAGGGCCCACCTCCACAGCTGGTGAGTCCCGGGGAGCTCTGCTCAGAGGGAGCACAGCCCCCGCCCCCAGCAAGTCTTGAGAGTCTGTCAGGGGATCGAGTGACCCAGATCCTCAAGGACCGGCTTGTGTCCTAGGGGGGCTGGGAGTCCCAGGGTCTGAGCCTGGTGTTGGGTGTGGTGGTCATGGCAGAGGGAGATGTGGGGTGCAGGCTGGAGAGGAGGAGCTGGTCCTATGTGGGGAGATGGCAACCCCCAGCCCTCCTGCCCCATCCTGAACCTAGGAGGCTCTGAGGATAGTCTCTCCCACCCACGGGGTCAGGCACACAGACAGGTAATTGAAGGGCTTTGTGCGGAGGTGGTGGGTGCTCCCATGTGGAGACAGGGGCTGAGCTATAAGGGGTTCGGTCCCCTTTGACGTCACTTATTTGGACCTACCCATCTCCTGTCTGGGCCTCAGTGTCTCCAACTGTAAAAGGGAAAGAATCCTAGACCAGATCATACATTTCCTGTCAGTTCTGGCCCTGACCTCCTGGGAGAGGGGGCCTCACAGGGAAGTCCCCAGGACGTGATGTTATGGGGCCTGTCCCCTCTGTCTCAGTGACGGTGACACTGTACAGGGAGGGACAGGCAGGACAAGGGTCCGGGCACCCAGTCCTACCCCTCAGCTCAGGCTCAGATCAGAGGAGGGAACAGGGTGGATCAGCCATGGTTCAGCTCCTGGCTCTGCTGCTCCTGCTGTGGGGCTGGCTGGTCCCTTCTCTCCTCTGAGTGTCGGGTTCCTGTCTGCTCCTCCCTGGTCCCATCCTGCTCACAGGCTGCTGGGAGATGAGGTGACATAAGGGCCTCACAGAGCTAAGGAGGGCCGAGCCTCCAGCCCAGCCGGACCTTCCCAAGGGGGCATCAGGGCCTGCAGGGTGGGGATGGATCCAGGAGAGACTAGAGTCCACCCCTCACCCTGCCCCTCCTGTCCCTGCTGTGCTGGGAGCGGTTAATGAGGAAGGACCCTCAGCTCCAGATGAGACATGGACAGGCTCCTGCAGAGGAATAGTCTTGAGCACGAAGCTGGTGTCCCCCGGGGGGCAGCATGAGGCCAGCACAGGGAACCTACAGTTTTGGGTTCCAGTCCTAGCTCTGCCCCGTCCAGGCTGGGTGACCTGAGGCACATGATTAACCTCTCTGAGCCTCAGTGAAGTGGGTTGTGGCGTCAGTCATGCCTGGTGCATGAGTGCTGTGAGGTGAGAGGAGATGAGTGACAGACAGCAGCATGTGCCTCGCACACAGTAGGGGCTCATTAAACAGCATCATTGGCTCATTTATGATGTCACTGATGTCCTAGGTCCCAAATGGTACTGGATAGGGGTCTCGGTGGCCTTGGTCCTGCTGTTCTCCCTTCTTCTCTTTGTCCTCCTACGACATTGGTGTCAGAGCAAATGCAGGACCTCAGGTGAGTAGGGAAGGGGGTGACCTCGGTCACAGGAGGGGGCTCAGAGCACCTGGTACAGGAAACCAAATAGATGGAGAAGGTCAGCTGAGAAAAGGATTTCTCCAGAATCTCAAATCAGAAAACCTAGGAAAAATACACTCACTGTCAGCACAGATGGACAGAGGTAAGGTCATCTTTCATCCTTCTCAACCTCATGAATAGGAAACATTCTCACAAGTGCTTTTTCAGAATTTTTGATAAGATCATGTGATTTTTATCCTTCATTTTGTTTATGTGGTGTGTCACGTTTATTGATTTGCGAATATTGAACCATCCTTGCATCTCCAGAGAAAGTCCTCCTTGGTCATGGTGTGTGATCTTTTTAATTTATTGCTGGATCTGGCAACATGAGGGTAATTGACAGGAGGGTTTCAACAGTGAAATCAAGGAGACGCTGTTCTGTCTCACTGTCTCTCTCCAGCAGAGCAGGCAGGATGAAGGCCCCAAGGGAGTCTGTACGGTCAGGTGAACTGCTCAACATCAAGACTCAGGCAGGGAATGACCACCTCTCTTTCTTTCCTATCAGGGGAATGTTTGGACATGAAGGACAGACAAGCAGAAGAGAACAGACAGATGGACAGACAGGTGGGTCCCATCCTCCCCAGGCCCTGAGGCTTCTCAAACCCCAACCATGTTTCATCCCTTTCTCTCCCCCTGCTCCAGGCTGCATCTGATGCCCCCCAGGATGTGCCCTACTCACAGCTGAACCTATTGGCCCATAGACAACAGACAAGTGCACCCCCATTCTCCCCATCAAAGGAGCCCTCAGATGACCCCAGTGTGTACGCTGCTCTAGCCATCCACTAGCTCAGGATGGACTCAGACCACCACACTCCAGGAAGGGGTATGCAGGGACCCCAGAAGACAGGAAAGATACCCCTATGGACACTTGGCTAGTGCCCCACCAACCGTGGAGACCTGAGGAAACCCTGGGACTCTCGGGGAGTCACCTCATTCTATAGTGAAAGATAAGCCAATATCTCTACATTTGGAAATCAAAGTAACAGACTTCCCAATAATCAATGTGTGAACAAAGTGAATGTTTTAACTGGAATTGTAATGTAAATATGACACATCAAACCTATGAAATAATAAAATTAAGAACCTTAAAAAACCAATGGCCTAATCTATCCTGTCAAGGATTTAGAAAAACAAAAGAAAACATTGCTTTGAATATTTAGATCCATAGACAATTAGATGATAAAGATGTGGTGTGTATGTACAATGGAATATAAACCAGCCATAAACAGAATGAAATCCTGCCATTTTGGACAACATGAATGGACCGGAGTGAAATGATTCAGACAAGGAAAGATGTCACTTACCTCTGGGATTTTTCGCATCCTCAAAGCAAAGGAAACAAAAACAGACCCATAGAAATAAATAACAAACTGATGGTTGCCAGATGGGAGGGAAAGAAGGATCGGTGGGAAGGGGAAGGGAAGATAGTCAATAATAAATATCATATCCATGTTGTATACCTGAAACTAATATGACATTGTATGTCAACTATGCTTTAATAAAAATGGTCAATTAAAAAATGATTATTTAAACAATAGAAATTTTTTTCTAAATGAAGGCATACGGAGATAATGATACAGCTTTGCATAGGAAAGAAAACCATCAACAAAATGAAAAGACAACCCACCGAATGGAGAACTACTAGCCAATACATCTGACAAGGGCTTATTGTCCAACATTTATAAGGAACTTATAAAGCTCAACACCAAAACCCCCCAAACAATCCAATAAAAAAATGGGCATAGGACCTAGATAGACACTTCTCCAAAAAGGGCACACCAACGGCCAGTAGATATATGAACAGATGCTCAACATCACTAATCATCAGAGAGATGCAAATTGAAACTGCACACCTTTCAGAATGGCTTATCATCAATAAATCCACAAATATCTATGCCCCTCTATGATCACAGCAGCCTTATTTACAAAAGCCAAGATCTGGAAACAGCCCAAGTGCCCACCAGCAGATGAAAGCTATGGTATATTTACACAATGGAATATTGTGCAGCTGTAAAATAAAGAAGGAACTCTTACCTTTTGCAACA